AAAAAGGAGGAAAAATCAAAAGAAGGAGCCGATGCAGAAGGAAAAGCCTAAATAATCCATCTGTGATCCAGGAGACACTATCAGATGGGGTGCATACAAATCACAAACCTACCTCTGCAGCAACCTAGGTCCAATATCCTCAGGGTCCTAAGGCTGCACTCAGACAATTCACGCTTACAGATTAAGCCTCACTGACTCAAGGACACTGGAAAATGTTGAATTTCAACAATCATATTAGCATATTGATTTTATTTTCTTGGAATATGAAGCAAGTGGAAGGAGCCAAGGAAGTGTTTTTCTTTCTTATTTTCCTGATTATTTATCTTAAATGCAACAACGCTGCTTCAACATACCATAAGGATTGATCAGCTATAGCTCATTAATTATGGCAGATTGTGATGCAAGATGAGAGTTACCCTTCTATGGTTTTTCCACGATTTGGTGTCTAGTGTACGTGTTTACTTTCTGCTGTAAATGTTGATGGTTTTTCCAACAGGAGCATCACAGCTCCTGTTACCTGCAGCAGTGGATAGACAATCACAGTGTGTGTTGTTTTTTTTTCCAATATGGGCGCACATCACTGAATTGTTGTTCACAATCTGCAGAAAAAAGCATCCCACAGAGTCCATGTTCACCTGCAGCAAAAAAAAGCAGCCTGCCTCTGTCTCTGTCACTGAATGAAATCGAAATGGTTTTTTGCCCATTTATTTTTTTTACTCGATTCGGGTATACAGTGGGGGTGCTGGGACCTTACCATGCATGGGCCACAACACTCCAATTCATCATGGAGATAGCAAACACAAACACATTTGCACACTAGGAGATATATTTGATTTTTCACTCCACCTGACTTGCATGTCTTTTATGTAGTCTCAAGCTACACACTTATTCTTTCTTATATTTCAATACCAGTTCACTTATGCTTACACAAATACATGGCAGCCACATTAATTGATTTTTTTTTTTATCCCATTGTCTGCAATGAGTGATGGTTGCATCTTCTTCTGTGTAATGATGTGTATAACAAAAGAAGAATTGATCCACAGCGTTGCTCATCGGCTACTTATTCAATTCAATCTACCCAGTGTCATTGTGATGGGCTCAGTGGATTAAACAAATCAAGTGCTTCATGTATACATTTTGTGTAACATGCAGTCCATGCAGGTTTACCTTGGCTGTGATACATTCATTCCAAGAATCAAATGTTTACTCCGAACTGAGAGTAAATCAGTTTATGTAAGAGACCTGCACGGCACACTTTAAACGTGAATTGGTACTGTATTGGTCAGGTTCAGATCATTTGTAAAGAGAACATTCTGCTCTTTCAACTATTTTAACCAAAGATTAATGCGGAAAAATGGCGGGGGAAAAGTTATGGAGTCTGAGGGGCAGCAGGGCGTCTGACCCAATACAATTTTCTTTTCACACTGCACTCTTATCAGCAGCGCCCTTATCGAGATCCTTCATCGAACTCAACGGTGCGGTTTTGAATTAACCTCAAGTCAATATCATGGTCATCTATCATGCTGACAGCAGCAGACTTCTGAGTGTGACATTGGAAAGATCGTCATCTCAAGAGAAAACTCTTGGTCCTTTCTGGCAAGAATGTTTTGTTTTATAAGAATGACCACATCAGTCACATTTGGTTCAGACTTTGGCTGAGGTACTCAGAGTCTCACGGTATAAGACAGCCGGGCTCTAAAAATCACATTTTTAATTTGCAGGATGCAGGATGTACCTTGATGTTTGGTTGGGATTCCAGCAATCATGACTCCCTTTCTACTGACTTACCTTTGACTCTTTTTTTAAATATTTTATTGTCATTGTTCAAACACTGAAAGCTTGGACTGATTTTTTTCTTTTTTTGTCACATTAACTGCTATATTAACATGCGCTTCTTGATTGGCCTATTTCACTGATTGCAATGGCAACTGCACTGAATAAAAGGCTATGACACAATAAAGACAGCTCCACATTTACAGTGTGGACAATGACTCTTGCTTTGAGGACAAAAAGGTGAAATATCAATGTTATTTAAAGTCTCTATCTTCCAAATTTCCCTAATTTATTTGTTAAAAGGTATGATGTAGAAGTACACAGAGTTCATCTGTATGTGGTTGTAAGATATAGATCTCAAAATGTCCGTGTAAGTGCATGCAATGTTACATTTATTGATTATTTCCATAGGCATTCAAAACATTTAAATGATGGACAATGTGCCAAAACAAGCTTTAATTTATTTCAATTCTCATAAGGCATGTCAAACAGCAGCAGCAGCAGGGGCATGATTTGCCTTTCTACCGTTCAAACCTCTGTCAAGGTGTCTGAAATGGCCATTTTCCAGATGTTTCTTCTCCCTGTAAGAAAGAGGAGGAGGAAGACAGGGACTGGATTGTGATCTCAGGAACCTGTTGACCCTTGATCCGCTCCGTGCCTTGCTCCATTATTGGTCTCAGTCTTAATATTTGTTTCTTTAGCTGCATGGTGACTATGTCAAATAGACTAATGACCAGCCCAGGGGTCTACAGAGGTCCACAGATTATTTATTTACCGTGCATCCAGACCAATTAATCATCCTGCTTTGAATGCACTGTACATTGATGTGGAAACAAATCCTTTTTTAATAATGCTGCTCTCTCTCTTTCTCTCTCTCTCTCTCTCTCTCTCTCTCTCTCACTGACAAAGTTTAAATGTGATTTGCTCATATCAAAAAATGACCAGTGGTTCTATTACCATACATTTATATGGTAATATTTGAATCCTTTTCCTTCCTCTTCTTTGGTTGGGCTGACTGACACTCCAGCATCGACGCATGCAGACGGCCAAACAAAACAGTTTTCATAGATGGACCATTATACCAGAGATGCATGGGGAATCTGTGAGAATGCTTTCCAGGTGTCATTGCCCCTTGGTAATCTCCTTCGTCTTCAGGAATTCATTTTCTCAGCTGCTTCACTTGAAAATGACATTCTGACACCATTTACATGGAAATCACTCTGCCTCTTCATCTGTAATTGTGGCCGGTGTGCAGACAGGACCTCTCTGAGGGATGGACTATTAATGGACATAAAGAGAAAAGTGAAAATAAAAGAAAGAAAGCTAGAAAGACAAACATAAAAGTGGAAAAGAAAGAAAGAAAGAAAGAAAAGGAAGGAAGGAATGAAAGAAAGTATGAAAGCCAGGAGGAAGGAAGAAAGAAAGAAAGAAAGAAAGGAAGAAAGAAAGAGAAAATGAAGAGGCTAGAAACTAAAACATGGGTTTTTCAGGGTTTAAGTCAAGGTCAGGTTTTAGGTATTAAGGGATGAAAAGGGGATGGAGACACTGGGGGAAGCATAATGAGAGAAATTCCAATTTCTCCCTTTAAATGTGTGTATCCTCACGTTCTCTTTCTCTCTCCCTCTCTCTATGTATCCATCTCTCACTCACTCATTCTATACCTTTCGTTTTCCCCGCAGACAGGAGAATGAGATAAAGATTTTCCATGAAAGAAGAAGAAGACATATCCAGCAGCAAAGCACACCGTTGAGAGGGTGATGAGAGGAATGCAGATATTCAGGGTGCAGGGTTTTTGTTGGGTCTCAACGAGAAGCATTTTTGTTTTCTGCTTTCGAAAGACATTTGCAATCCATCTCAAAGAAAGAAATGTCTGTGAACTTCAACAAAGACCTGAGTTTATGGAACAAAACAGCATTATATAAGTGCACATCTCTCAAAAACAAAAACAACACAAGGCCTCATATAGGTGGAATATGCATCTCCCTACACTGCCCTACTCTTGTAAAAGTCACTGACAAGAGATCAATTCATGCAAAAACACATAAAGGACATTGATAAACATATACAACTAGGTGGGATTACTTTGTCATGCCCTGAATACATGTATGTGGTATGATAATGAGCGTGTGTATCCTCACAGGTATCACATTTGATTCCTTAGACTTAATATTATAAATGCTTTATGTGTGCTATCATCAAATGTTTTGTTTATATTCCTTTTTTTGAGTATTATTGTTTAATCTCTGTACAAATGAGTAAAGGTGAAGAATCAAGATTATTTGGTTGGATTAATACTGCCTCCATCTGGCATTACTGTAGAAATACATATGAGCAAAAACACTGTGCACTACAAAATTATGATTTCCTGTGCAATGTAGTTGTTTCTTTGTTGAAAATGTTGCTGTTGTTTTTTGTGTTTAGTGTTTATTACAATAAACCATGATCATATCCTTTTCTTAGACAAAACATTAAATTGTCTTGTATTTTATGCAAAACCCTGCAGCAGAGTTTGAATTCTAACAATGCAACCTCCTCTGTATTTTGCATTTTTTTTTTTAAATAATTGCTGTGATATTAAGGGATTGTCTGTGCAGGCAACATGTATTGGCATAGGAAATAGTTTTAGATGAGAATCAGTATCTCAAGTTTTAATCAATGGAGGCTATTGCACCACACAATGGATTTATATGAATTCTAATCATTTATTTCAACTGATTGATATAGCCTAAATATGTTCGGCAAAAATAACTAGATTTTAACGAATATATTCTTTACTGTCAATAATGTGTTAACATTAACTTGGTTATGAGTAAAGGCCTATTTTGTTAAGGTAAAAATATATCCCTTTATTTAATAGCTGCATCAACGCAGTAAAACTAATTCTGAAAGTTAAGAGTAAAATGATTGGCGACGTCTCCTCATGCTTTCAAGAGGCGTTTATTGAAACTCTTCTTCCAGTTTATAATTGTGACGCACAAAATTAAACAGGAGCTTGGATACATGTAGGCAATGACTACTGGGGAAAATGTCATCAAGAGAGCAATATTCAATATGCATTTTTTTCTTTTAACCTAATTTTTTTAGGTGCTTACACAAATAAATAGCACTGATGTAATTCTAACACCTTCTAGTGCCAGTATCTGCACACAACAGCCAGGGCTTTCCAAGCGTATATGCCGCGTTGATAGGCGGAAAAACGCTACGTCATTACGCACAGAGGGACGTCTTGGAGAAGATAAACAAAAAGGAAGGAACCCTTCGGCCATACAATCGCGGCAAAAAAACGGTTCAAAAAAATTAGCTTGAAAGCTATAGTTAGCAACTTCATGTGCCTATTTTATTGCTTCAATATTTATTATTAGGCGTTTACAACCATGGACGAGTCTATAGTGTTTCGTATGAGTGCGTTTTCGGAGCAAGGTGGGAGGAAATACATGGAGGATGTTGTCGAGATAAGAATCGAGTACGAGCCGACGCCGTCGTCAGTCGAAGATTACCAAAAGTCTCAGACGCATGGAGGACAAGGAAAAGCGGAGAGTGAACCTACCAAACAGACTGAAAATGCGACACTCGAACATAGCGTAGAGGCCGATTCGGGTCCGGCTTCTGCAATGTGGGTAGAGAGTCTCTCAAGCGAGGACGGCGGCAACAACAGTGCACCGGTGTCTGACGGAAAAGTCGCGGGGCATGTCGTCGACACTCGGAAGTCTGTGGCTTTTTTCGCCGTGTTTGATGGACACGGGGGTCGGGAGGCTGCACACTTTGCGAGAGAGAACCTGTGGGAACTGTTGAAAAGGCAGCGAGGGTTTTGGTCGAAAGACCACAGTGAAGTGTGTGCCGCTCTTAAAAAAGGGTTCATCGCCTGTCACCATGCAATGTGGAAAGAGCTACGTAAGTCATCACAGGAAAGCTTGCTTGTTGTGTTTGTTTTTTTGTTTGTTTTTTTCCCCCATTGTGTGTGTGTGTGTGTGTGTGTGCAGCGGCCTATTGCTCATGAGTCACACTGACAACAATTTCAGCAAGGTTAGATTGTTAACTGTGTCACCGGAAGCTGTATCCGACTCAGCTGATGGTATTATGATGCCCGGTTCCTCTGCCAACTAGCCCATCCCATTACATCTGACCACGACACGGATCTGAGATGACCTAACCCCGTCCAATATAATTCTGATAAATGTTAGCATGTGGATATAAATGGCTTAAGAGTCAAATGAACTGCAAAACATACAAGGGCCTACATATATTTGTTTAGTTGAATTCTTAGTCTGTCATTTTGCACTTTGTTCCAGTCAGTCAATATGTTGCTGAATTATAACAGTGACCACTCTGTTATTTACATACAGTAGTTTGATGGAGACACAGTGTATTTATTTTAAGATTACCAAATGCAGTAAATGCACTGTATTAAAACAACCATATCATTCTAATCACACTTGAGATGAGATGAGATTCAACTTTATTGTCATTACACATATACAAGTATAGAGTAACGAAATGAGGTTTGGCATCTCACCAGAAGTGCAAATTAGCAGAAAGTGCAAGAGTCTGTGCTATGTACAGTAATTCTGTGCTATGTACAGTAATTGCAAAATTTACAGATGTAGACAAAAAAAGTGAATTATGAGGTATATCTGGATGGCTGGATTAATGGGATGCAATAAATATAAATAAATGCTATATACTTGGCTACAATAAGCCTGACAAACGGAGCCATTCCTTTTTTAAGAAAACACTGCAATGCATTAAAGTAGGATTTTAATCAGCTGGTATTATGGTTTAAAACTAAACGTGGCTGTAGTAAGCCTCTCAAAGTGAACCATAGTGAAAGTGTTTTGCAGATAAGGGGTCAAGGGTTAAAATGAGGGACAACAAGTGACAGTTGTTGTGGTTTCTTGTTTGCTTCCATGGATCATGTCAGTCAGATTTAGGGTAACACTACTAGTCAGTCAGCATTTTGCAGTGCATGCACATGTAGGCAGGATTTATGAGGAAAGTCAAACAGTTGTTTAAAGCCTGAATGCCTAACAAACTGAGCCTCGGGGCTTTTTCAGATATACTCTGCTTATTCAAACATATATTATAACGTGGGTTAAGAGGTCCTGCTATATGAATTTAAAACACAGGCCTGATACACAACTTTAGATTCAATTCATTCACAATAAAGAAAACCCGCCGGAGAGGAAAAACAGTCATGAATATTAAAGACGTCACTTGAAAATCAAAGCAGCAAAGACAATAAAGGAATGCAGGAGACATTTCTGCCTTTTTGAAGTCGTGTTTGGAGGAATGAGCTGAATGAGGCGATGCTGGGTGTGAAACTAACCTTAACAGCACAAGGCCACATGGCAGGAATTAGTTTCTATGGTTACATGGTTTAACCTTTATAATCCCAGTTTATGAAACAGAATTTCTAGACTGAACTATTCATTATGATAGCTTCACTGAACTAAGCATGTCTTATGTGAGCATCATGTCGTGTAAAACAGCTCTTGATGTGCCTTGATCACCGAAGCTAAGCTGTTGCAAAGCTTTCATTTTCTGCGAAAAATAACCCGATAGATTTGTTTTTATTGACCTCTTACTGATGCTGTTGGAGGCTTGAGCATAGTTCAGCAGAGTGTAGAGTACAGATTCAATTCTCTGTGGACGCTCCATAAGGATACAGTCTGCATGGCAGCTGAAGTTAAACAGATTTGATTTGATTTTGCAGAGTGGCCTCTGACTGTCTGAGTAGCAGGCTGAACTTAAGTGTACATATTTGTTAACATGTTTGTGCTAACATATCATTCAGCTGACTGTTTGAAAGTAAGGAAAGGTTTCCTGACGGGAGTAAACAGCATAAAAGAGCTTAACAATCTTATTTCTTCTATCTCTATTTCTTGTTTTTTTTGTGGAAATTAGACATAATTGGTGTCTTGTATTTTGTGATAAATCATCACTACTGTTTTAACATCATCATGATATTGTGTTACTGCCCTTATTGAATGCAAATATGCAGAAAATGTATATTTCATTTGAATTTTTTAAGCTTTTTATTTATCTTTTTTTGCCCCCTCAGCCGAGTGGCCAAAGACCATCACTGGCCTGCCCAGCACATCAGGCACCACAGCCAGTGTGATTGTGATCCGTGGAGTTCACATGTACGTTGCCCATGTGGGGGATTCAGCAGTGGTGGTCGGAGTGCAAGAAAACGACTCTGATATCACGCTCCAGGCACTAGAAGTCACACAAGACCACAAACCGGAACTTCCTAAAGAAAAGGAAAGGATAGAACGCCTGGGTGGCAGGTGAGTTTGAGAACAGGACCGCATTCAGAAGAGTCCGTCTGGGGGGGGGGGGGGGCATGTTTCTACCGTACATCAAATGTAATCGTAAAGGTCAGAAGAAATACGTGATACTGCCAAATACAGTCTTATAGAGGGCAGGTATTTTCTTGTACTTATTACCGTCAACATTGCTGTATTTCGTGTCCAGCTTTAACACTTGCCATGTTGTTGAATGTTTTTTTTGTTGTTATTATTGTGTCTGTAGTGTGATGAAGAAATCTGGGGTGAACCGTGTCGTGTGGAAGAGGCCCAGACTGACGCACAACGGACCCGTGAGGAGGAGCACAGTCATTGACCAGATCCCATTCCTGGCTGTAGCCAGATCCCTCGGTAAAAACAACAACCTGATAGATAGGATGAGTGTAAAAACAAAACCATAATCGCATTTTAACATTAGGTATGTTTGGTTTTATTATTCATCCAAAAACAATGCGGTTGAGTTGATATCCTGTACCACATTACAATAGTTATCCCAATGCAATAGCTTCACAGTACAGAAACTCAGGGTCGCTCAAGGCTACATTTTTCACACACACAAAAAAAAAGATGAAATGTAAACAAGCAATGCTCTCTCACTCAGTTTGCATGCATTGTATCCGGTTCTAAGCATAACGGCCTTGCTTTCACACCATTCCTTTTTAAGTTATTTTGTTGGCCTGTTTGCCCTTTTTAGATAGGACAGTTGGGAGGAGAGAAAAGGGGATGACATGCAGTGAAGGGCCGAGGTTGTTTTTGGAAACCACAGCGGCTGCAATGAGGACTTTAGCCTTCGTACATGGAGCGCACAACATTACCGCTAGGCTATCTGCAACCCTTTTCAAACCGTTTGGTTGCAATGAAGCTCTAGCTTACTATGGTTTGCACATACTGACCTTGTTTTCGCCTCTCTAGATCCTTGCTTGTGTTGTAATTACTCTTTGATGTACGTCACTTTGGACAAAAGCATCTGCTAAAAGTTAATTGGAGGAAAATGTACTATCAGCTCGACTCAGATGAATTGGTGCAGATTGAGTGGTTCAAAATAGAACTTTTTTGGTTCATCCTGAATTCAGATGGAACATGGTGTAAATACAGATATTGTTGAAAACATGAAGCAGCAGAGAAACTGTGAGGTATAGCTAGTTCTAGTTCTGCTTTCAGACCAATGTGGTGTAGTTTGTGTATTTAACATTCCTGAAATTCTCAGCATTACAACATTCTATTTAGTAAAATCATAGTTAAGGTTCTGAAAATAAATACCTCTCTGTTCTAAAGGGGATCTGTGGAGCTACGACTTCTACAGTGGGGAGTTTGTGGTTTCTCCGGAGCCTGATACCACCGTCATGACGCTTGATCCCAAACGGCATCGCTACGTCATCCTCGGCAGTGATGGACTGTGGAATATGATGCCTCCCAAAAATGCTGTCAACATGTGTTCTAGCCATGACAAAATGGTGGTTAGTATGTGCACATGAAAATTGTCTCTCAGCATTTATCATATTATTTTTACCTGATTTTGACACTTTGAGAGCATCAGAGCTATAGAATATAGAGGATTGTAACATGCACTTATTTTCTTCTTCTTCTGCTTCTTTTCACTTCCAGGGACCAAAGGGGATGTCATGCGCCAGGCGGCTGGGATGCACGGCCCTATTGTTCTGGAAAGAGCGAATGCTCCGAGCAGACAACACAACAGTTATTGTCCTGGCCCTGCAGGAGCGTGACGGCCCTCCCATCCCTATGCACAGAGATGAGATCGTTGTTGACATGGCCACAGGAATTGACCATGTTCCATACCCAGGAACGACTTACAACACGTGTGAGGTCCCAAAGGTCAGTCCAAAATCTTTGCTCCATCCTCTCCTTCGCAGTATTTCATCAGGATGTGCCATAAGACAATTGAGACATATTTCCCACATGCAGAGTCGGTCAATGCTGGGGGGGGAAGTACCTCTCCAGCACTGGCCGGACAATGGAAAAAAATACAGAATATCTGTGTGTTTGTTTGTTGTTTGCTGTTCACTGCATTGTCCTAAATATATTCCAGCTCATTTTTAAGTGTCATTGTGCTACTTTCACCATTTCAAATGTGAAGGTTTGAAGTCAAAATAGCTGCTGACTTGAGGTCAAAAGCTGCAGATACTTTCAGTGGACTCTTGGTTTCAACAAATCACTCTTTTGTTTTCGGGGCCAACAGGCGGAGCATGAGGATGACATGTTTTTTGAAGAAGATGAGATATATGGAGAAGAACATGAGGGATGGCCATGCCTGGAGTGGTAGTGAGGTGACTGCTCAGTTATAAAAAAAAAATCAAAGTGTCAGCTCAACTGATTTCATGTTTCTATTTGATGAACCTGGTGACCAAAATTCTGATTTCTGGATTGAATTGATCTCCCATGCAACTGGTTATTACACTCTGCATTGGAGCATTGGTTAGGCCCATTGGTGTTATAATTTACTGCTACATAAAGTTGTAGATTAGCTATGTCTTTCAAAGTGAGATAACCATTAAAGAGATGATGAACATTTAGATTACCACCTTAAACCTTTTCCCACACCAGCCACTAGAGGGAGACAGTGAAACAGCTGGCTCGTTAAATTACCTTTAGTCACAACTGAACAAAAATCAAGTGCAGGTGGCATCAGGTTGACTTGGTGTGAAGAGTGATTATGTTCCAGGCTGTTCCTGGTTAAGTGTTAAAACACAGAACAGATCCATAATCCATGTTATCACTTGTATCATCGTTACTCATGTGTCTCTCATTAGAGTGATGATTGGCAAATTGTGTTTTTTTTTTTTGTTTTTTTTTAAATAATAAAAAAAAAAGTTTATTATTTAACCAACAAATTGATTTAAAACATAAAATAAAAACAATAAATTGTGGAATTTTAATAGATTTTCAGATTTAACTTCCATCTCTCGTTTGCTTTATTCTAGCAGGGTGATGCAGTGAACGCACCCTGCCCTTTTAAAGACAGTTCCGCGGCTCTGGAGCAGGCGTTCGGGCTGTATGAAGCAGCTTTCTGTGCCACCGCACGGCTCTCACCTGATGTTGACTCTATGGGGGTCACGCTGCCCCCGTCAGAGGGCTCTGTGAATGTTTTCGAAAAGCAAGACTCCACAACCCAAGTGGACTGTGTTACATGTCGTCCTCCATTAAAAAGGTCTCGCCGTTCCCCAAACACACCACCTGAAACCGGAGGTCGTAGCCGCCGCCGCCGCCCCGGTCGGTCCGCCAACAAAAGCGTCCCCCAGGAGACGCCTGTTAGCGGCGCACAAAGCGGACAACCCAGTCAAAGAAGCTCCTCGCAGGATTGCAGTATCCTACCACAGCACTGCAACTCTGCCTTGTGCGTGTGCTGAATCCTGTCTCATATAAACAGTGTTTCAACCCCCCCCCGACCCCCAGAGACCGGGAGGAATACATCGCACCGGGTCAACTTCGGTTTGCTACAGACCCTTAATCTTAGATGTATACTTTTTCTAAAAAGTCTTTTTTTGTTTTTGTAAAAATTCCTGAGAAATTTGAGATTGTAAATGTGTGACCTGATTAACGTGTACTTCTTCTCTTTTTGCTGCCCCCCCCCCTTAAAAGTTTAATGTAATTAAAATTACAATTTTAGATCTGTTCAATCTACACAATCTATTTTCATACTTCAAAGTATGTATAGTATATTGAAAAAAAAAAAAGAACGTATTTAAAAAAAAAAAAAAAGATAGATCACTACAATCTGAGACAACTACAGTTAACATGAACAGTGACACAGGCAGCCTTCCAGTGATTCCATTTATCAAATATACCAACTCTTTTATGCTGTTCAGACTTTCCTGGATGGAGTTTATACCTCAGACAACTTGTTTGCCATTTATCCTCTTGGAGCCTTTAAGATGCTTGACTTTCTAGTTTGATTAGGAGACCCTGACAGTATAATACTTGAGAGCTCAAAGACATGGATAGAAATGACAAACAAGAGTCCGAGGTTGTTATTAGGGGACTGATTTCAAGTCTATATCCTTAGTTTTGTGTCTTTACTAGTGGGAAATAATGTACCATCATGATCATAATTGCTCCTTTTAAGCTATTCGGTGTATCTTATGCATAGTATGTGAGGATGTGTTTAAAGGGTCAGTTCACTGAAACCCCCAAACTCCAGAAAAGTATAAGAAAATGTGATGATTTTATTTAGCATAGTGGTATCTATCCATGTAGGTAGGTAATATATATATATATTTTTTTTAGGGAACTGACCCTTTGATGGTTCTTTTCTAGAGAGTCATATTGATCCATTCCAAGCATCTTCATGTATGAGTTGGCCAATTACCGTACTGTTTTTATTCAGTTTTGAAACCTTGGGTGTATCCATACTTTTTTTTAAGGTGTAACTATCAGAAGCACAGGATGTTGAGTAATGATGAAAAAGTCTTGACCAATACCTGTGCCTCACTGGGAAGTGGTTCAGAGGCAGCTTGGACCTTCATATGCGTTTATTTGAAGTGTCTACTAGGTACCATAACCATTAGAATTGGTCTTCCTCTGTGTTCTCATATATTGTTGTCTTGTGTGTGTGTGTATGTGGTTTCCATCCATAACCTGTGTTTTAATCTGCACATAAAACACATTATGGTACTTATGTCATAAAACAAGAAGTGCCCCATTCATGGTTGATAGTGGTCAAAGTTCTAACTTGTTTTATTATGGCAGCTCAGTAAGTGTTCGAGCAGATTTGTTTGCCTTCTTTTTACATTAAAGTGTCATGTTTGCCTTAGCACAAACGAGTCAGAGGTGCTTCATACAAGTGTGATTCTTATGGATGTGTCATTGTAAGTATGGCTGTGGCCCCAGCTCCAACCATGTATCATGCACTCTCCTCCGTTCTCCAACCCGTCTCATTGAAGCGTTCATGCTGCAGAAAATAAACCCCCTGTTAAATGTTTCTCAGTAATATTCCAGAGCAGTGTGTTTGTTTTGTACAGTACTTCAATATGCAATACAAATTTGTACAGTACATTATTATGCAAAGTCAATGGATATTTTGGGAGTCTGGCATGCTCTGATCTACTCTGTATGTTGTGAAGTGTTCAGAGGTTGTGGAATTTCATGAGCATGTGGTTTGTTTTTGATATTTACAATACTTGGTTCTGGCTTCATGTCCAGTGCGGCCAGGTTTCAAGACTAACTGTATAACTTACATACTTTGAAAGTGGCTGATGATATAATGTCTGTGTGTTGTAATAAAGTTCTCATTTTTCAATTGGTGCTGTCACATCTGTTGTAGTGTCCACTTTATTACAGCATGTCTACTCCAGAGTTTTGAGCAGTGGCTGGGTAGTGTTTGAGGACTTAAGAATGCTTTCTGTATTTGTTACTTAGGTGTTACTTCAAACATGGAGGTAGTACTTCATGTGTTTTTGCACTTGTGCAGGGTTACTTGCAATTACACTATGCTCCAGTAGATGGCCATGATGTACAGACATGAAACAACCCGGGTTTACCTGCTTCCACTCCTGGGTTTCCTTTTAGACACTGTGTTTTTTTTTTCATTCAGAAGAGCTTGAAATTCAACAGGTCTAGGTCAGTGCTTCCCAAAGTGAGAGTCATGCCTTCCAAAAAACCCATTATTGCAAAAATAGATACAAAAAAGTAGTTTGATTTCAAATAAAACCGCATTGAGTGAAATTAAAATGTGTAAAAATACTTAAAATGTAAGTTTGCACGTAACAGCAGCATTATAGGTGTCTGCTGTTGTTTACACATAAAGATGCACTTTCTTTTCTATCCATGAAGTCTTTCCACTCAGTGCTAAAGTCTATACATGGAACTTACTGGTACTTGTATTCTACTTCTAGCCTTTATTACAATAAATTACTATCTAAAATAATTGTATGTTCTTTTTTTTTTTTTTTTTCAAAGATTTAGTTTTGGGCTTTTCAAATTTTCAGACTTGAACCCAGGCCGGCCGCCCAAGTGGATGACCGTATCCTCTGTACACGGGGTGCGTGCACTAACCACTTCGCTACCGACGGCCCAATTTGATGGTTTTTAGGTTGTTCTATTCGTTTTCATTATTCTTTTTGTGTTACTTGTGTTTGGAATGGTCTAGTAGTGCCTGTGTTAGCATTACATGAATAAACCACCTCCAGGGACAGTGGGGGGTCCCCGGTCTCTGGCACTCTTATTTTGGGGCTTACAAGCTGGAAAGTCTGGAAACCCCTGGTATAGGTCACACCTACATAGCAGAATAATGGACATGTTTTGTTTTATCTAAATGTATATTTAAAAAAAAATACATGTAATACATGAACAATACATGAATACAAAAGCTAAGATAGGTCTCACTTCAAAAGTGTTCTAGTCTATTCATAAAGCTTATTTCTTTGTGTTTAAAAGGATGCATTGGATGATGTTTCCCACAAATAAATCTTAGTTGAGCTTAAACAGTGGTTATTTTCTTCTAAGATCAAAAGTGACATGTCAAGATCAACTTTAAGCCATCATCTATGATTGGTCAAATGTGTGCAAAAATATATTCATTTGAACATCTACAGTTCCCCAACAACTCAGCAACTGGTGCTGTGATAAGTTCAAACGTTCCAGGAAAGCGAGTAAGCAGACCCAAAAGTGACACATTTCTTGCACATCATATAGGCCTATTACTTCTTTTTACTAAGAAGACTTCAGACATACAAGTTTCTTCAAAATGGAAATGATACATTGTCTACCTCTTTTAAAGAGAGGGAATGTTGTTTCTCTGTGGAATCTTTTTTTTTTTTTTTACATTTTGTAGAAATTCTCTCAACACTCCATCAGCACCCAAAAAGTTAAACAACCTGACAACAATGAAATACAAAATATCCACAAACTGCTTTTGCAAATATACAATACTTTCCTTTCCGTCAACACACCTCTCTGCCTACAACTTTGTCCTACACCCATGCACCTCTTGGACATTAGCTAAGTCTTCAATAAGCTACGTAATGCCAGCTTGATGCACATGAATGGCAGAATGAAGGGTAGATGAATACAGTGACAGTCATGCAATGAACTTCTCTCACCAACTTGTTCCTTTTGGATTAGAGCTGCACCAGTGGTGAAGGGCAGACCGTGTTCATGTGTATTGGGGAGTGGATACTTTTTAAATCATGTGTAGTCTAGCTATTTCTCCTAAATTGTCTACCCCCTGCCACTGAGAAAAGACTGTTTGGTAAAATCATATTCAACTGATGCTAAATATCACCCAGTATGTGGATAGCAGTCTTGGCAACTCCAACCTGGCTTAGAAGTGATTATAAGAAGTATGTTTGCCTTAGAAATTTGACAACCCTAGCAATCTTTTCTTTTGATCTGATGTCTCTGTGACACGTTCCGTACTTCAGGAACACATTTCTTGTCCTTAGCCATGGTCTGTTTCTGAGACGTTACAGACATGAGATCCATGATCCAGTGTCTTGACTTGAATATTTTATTGACTGTCAGCCCAACATCTGCTGACCCACCTAACATGCAACATTCCCCTCTTACTGCAGACAGTCTGTCACTGTACATCAGCCATTGGAGCATCACAGTGTCACCCACCTCTCTCTCTACTCTCCCACCATCATCACAGCAGACTAGTCTGGACTCAGAAACCAATGACTGCAATTTTGACACCCCATGCCTTTCGAGCCATCAGTGAAAACCCTTTTTTCTTTTTTTAAATATCCATACATTGGATTCAGTGGAAAGGGCCTTCTGTCTTTAAGGCAATAGTGGATTTTACTAACAGTCTGAATTATGTATGTTGTAAACCCAGTGCTGCTTGTCTTGATTTATCTTGTTTTTTGTCTTGATAGATTTTATATTTTCAAGAACTGGTTGTGACCCTTTTCACTGTACATCTTTAGTGATCCAGGTACATTTTGGTGATCTGGAAGACAACAACCATGCTAGCCGAACTGTATAAAGACAAAGTTATGAAAAAAGGATAAAGGAAACAATAAACAGAGGGCCACCACCAGTCGTGAGGATCAATCCCCTGGGAACTGTACAGAATTTCATAGCAATAATGACATGGTCCATCTGGCAGTCCTTTAAATATTTAACTCAATACTGTGCTATACTTGGATTTAAATAGGCTGCTACAATTTTTTTATGTCCAAGTTACATTGAGGTGTTGATTCTGCTCAACATTTCTTTCAATTACTGCATTCTAACACACATAATTAATTAAGGATCTTCCTTAGATCATCAAATGATGCTTTCTTACTCAGTCAAGCAGATGGACTTGAATAAACAAGAAGAAAAGGGTGCTTCCATACAGGACCAAAGTGGCCCCGGACCTGAAACATAGTGGTGATCACACGCTACAGTATATAAACAATGTGGCATTTAATTTGTCCCCCAGCAGTCAGACTAAAATTTGAAATAATTTGTTCTATTTAATAATTCTCTTCTACTTGTACAAAAAATAACTTGCTACATTCTGTACACCTTAAAGTATTACATGAAATGTAGATTTCCAAATTACACCGATGTTCTTCTTGTAGCATCACACTCTCCGAGCAGTGAGTGTGAGCGAGTCACAGCCTTTGATGGAGTCATCTAACTTGTTTCTGTCCATGTCTCCTGTCTCCTGTCTCCTTCTGACAGTATCAGTGGTGCCTCTACAGGCCTTTAATGGCTCACCCTCTGCCACTCCTGGGAGGCTCCAGAGTAAGTGCTATAAGGAGAAAGACTCCTCCAGATGATGGGAGATGACGTGCCCTCCTTTTCTCCTTTTGCTCTGTCTCAAAGAAAGCAAGCAGCACTGGCATCAAATATTATATATATATTTATTTTTTTGTAAGTATTGCACACTTGTAAATTGTAGACCTATAATATCCAATTCTTACAAACGTTCTTTCATTGATATTTAATAAACTATATTTGTAACAAGGATGTAGTAATTCATCTCTGGCCCTGCTCTGTGACACTGGCTCGGTATCTTGTGATGTATCAGAATGTTTCATGTTATATTTTTGTAATAGATGTTAATGAATTGCAGGATTTGATAAAACATAGCTGATTTCCAAGCTGGTTGATCCCTAAACGATGCCTCAGATGATCTTGTTGACTAAGATCACAGAAAGGGCACTTCAACATTGAACACTTATGATCTCATAGGAGTCTTCTATTAAGATAAATGCTACCGCTGTCTTCATATAAGTACAGTCATTACATTAAGTCCATACATTACATACATACAACAATGAAATGACATAATAGGTATATAAGCTTTATGGATGTAACTCTTGCAATCCAATAATTTTATGCTCTCTAAGGCCTGATGGAGTTTAGGTAGCTGATAAATTCCTTTGGTATTCTTTGATAAATGTAATTGGGTATCATCTGCGTAACATTGAATATTTGTGTATACCCAGATAGGGTATATATAATTTGAATCATACTGATACATGAACAAAATCTTTAAGAACATTGGCCTGCATTGTGCATGGTTTTTGTTGTACCTTGTTTTGTGTACAAACTGGGATGGGTCTGATAAATGGGACTTACACTAGCTTTGGTTCCTTTGGTTCCTTTAATTCCTTTAAACTCCAGTTAAGTGTTCCAGTCTCTGTAATAGGATGTGATGGTCATTGATGTCAAATGCTGCACCAAGAGGTGTTCTAGGACATGACAGAGAAAAGTCCTTAGTCCAAGGAATTTAGAACTTAGAACTTAGAACACTTTTGCCCGTGCTGTATTTGTGCTAATACAAAAAAAAAATACTGTTAAAAAGAAAACCAAACAACTGACTGACAGAGACCTGCTCTATTCGAAGTGGGATTGTCTCTCCTGGTGGAACCAGGTCTTCCCCAGAGAGTCTGCCAAGCATCTAAGAAGTTACAATCATTTGCTGAACACCGCTTTGAAAGCTGGAGGTTGAATGAGGACACATATACATTTATTTACACAGTGTTGATGCAGGTGTATTGTATATGAAGGCCAAAAAGCAGCTTTTTTCTGATTTTTTTTTTCTACTTTTCTGCTGTCACTTTTTCAGTCTGCTGTACCGTAACAGTAACAGAAGTAATGTTATTGAAATGACTGACCAGGCAACTACTCAATTCCAGACTAGCTCCTTTGAAATCTTACTATAACAGACATGACACCATACCTAAAAAAAGCTATTTGGTCTACTGGACTCCGTAGGATACTGGTCTGTTACACCTTTATGTTGTGTAAGTGTAAAGAGAAAAGTAAGACTTTAGGCCCATAGATTGCATAAACTTCTAATTTCTCACTTTC